CTGGGCATGCAGGCAGCCGGAATGGGGGCTCTGGAGGAGCAAGAGGGTGAAAGGCAAGGTTTGCTCCCCGGCTCCGAGCGCGGGCGCTTCCCTTACTCCTGATTTCCATGGAGCGCTGCTGCAGGCGGCCCTCGGCAGTGTGCAGAGCCAGGCAGGCGAGCAGCAGCCCCGCAAGGCAGGCGGCCGTCACCTTCATCCCCGGCAGCTCTTCCTGGCGGCGGGGCACTCGGGCTGGAGAGCAGCGCTCTGCGGGGCCGAGCCTGCGGGCACAGACATGGCCACCTCACGCGCCCGCCGCGATGCCCCGGCAGCTCCGCGCGTCCGCCCCTCACCCATCGCGTTGCCCGGCCCAGCGCTGCCATGAGAAGTGAAGCAGAGGGGTCCCCCGGGAAAGCAGCTGCTGGGCCCAGGTTTTGGGGATGGGTAGGACTTCTGCTGCGGCTGCAAAGGGGAGTTGCAAATAGAGCTGTGCCAAAAGGACTGTGTAAAGAGGCGCATGCAAAAAACTCCTGTGCACCTGCCCCTCCAGCAGCAGGCAGACCTGATCTGCTCAGACGCTTTGCACTCCCTGAGGGAGAGCTGGCACCTCAGCCAGGGCATTCGCCTTAGGGCACCGCCACATTGTGCAGCAGAGGTGCACGTGGCTGCTCAACGCCCCATTGCAGCGGGCACTCCGTCACAGCCCCTGGAGCCAACTGCCAACATGAAAATCCTGGAGCATCTTCTAATCCCTAGGCATTTTGCAGCCTGGGCCAGCACGTTCAGCAGCTGTGCACGACCCTGCAGTGAGGTCCAAGCACCCAGCTTGACTTCTTCAGCCACCTGCAACTAAGGAAGGGAGCGAGACGCAGACCGAGAGGGACCAGCTAAGCAAGGCACTGCATGGCTGCAGTCTTACTTCAGGGGACTTTTGCTGTGGAGAAGCACTTCAAATGGGATGCGCTCAGAAAGCAAGCCTGTCAGCTTAAGTTTGCCACCGTCACTGCCTTTTCAGAGCAGCCTTTCAGGAAAAAAAAAAAAATCCTCCTTTGCTAAAGCACAGCTGTAGCGAGGAGACACGCAGGGGAGCACGTGGAGAAGCCCAGCCTGTCTGCGAAAGCCTGCAGAGATGCAGCAGCCACCTGTGGCAGAGGGACCCCCCCGGCGCCAGCCCCGCTGCCCTTCCCGCGTCCGGGCGGGAGGCGAGGCGCGCGCGGCTGCCCGTGCGTGTGAGCCCCGCTCCCCCGGGAGCGCTTTTATGCCCGCTTGGGTGCTGATGTCAGCGGTGAGCCCCGGCGGGGCGCCCGGCCGCGGCTCCCCTCCCCGCCGCCCGCCGCGATCAAATCAGCGAGAGGGATTTTCATGACTCACGCGGGGCCGTAATTTTATCTCCCTTCGGCCAAAGGCAGGGAGCTGGGGAATATGCTGATCTGCACCCCTGGGCGAGGATGGCTCCAGGTGAAGGAGCAGGATTGGCACCTGGGAAGGGGTTTGGAGCAAGGACGAGACGCAGGCACAGGACAAGGGCAGAGCCATTACCCCACACAGCAATGTTGCCCCGTGCACAAACCTCATTCTCCCACTGCAAGAAAGTAATGCTGTGAGACAGGCTGTAGGATCTGACCACAAAATTAGTTTTATTGTGTGATTTTGGATACACGTATTTAATTTCTACACCAGTGGAAGAGGCAGGAAGCAGGCAAATGGCAGCATGGGTGACAGCCGACTGAGCGATGCCGGGTTTTGTGCTGCCACGGCTCAATGCAAAGACTCCTTGGTGGGGTCAAGAGTGGGACAGACTGTGTGGAAGGACTCGAGCTGCAGCTGAAACCAGCTCTAGCACGAGCGAGGTCCAGGCTGGAGGTTTGAGCTGCATCACGATACCAAAAGACTGGGCCAGGGTCCGCACTGGAGCAAACCCACAACGGTCCCCAAACCCTCACAGGGTCCCTTAATTGCAATGGGAGCTGATCTTTTGTAAGGAAAGTGTTAGAAAATGTGTCAAGCCCAGGAACACTGCAACAAACTGGGAAAGCACCTCTGGCTGCTTTTAAGGTGCGTGTCTCAAATTGACCTTTTCTGAAACAAGATTGACCAGTAGCACATGACCCCCTCCTCCCAGGTACAAGTCTGGACTCAACACAGGGCAATCTCACTGTGGAAATAGGCTCTTCCCTTTTCAGCATTGTGCTAGGAAGAAGTTTTTTTGTTTTGTTTTGTTTTTACGCAAGAAACTGGTTTTGTTCCATCGGGAAGGGTAAACACCACCCCGTCCATCACCCTGCTCTTGGGTGACCACAGGGCTGATTCTTAGACAGTTACGAGTCTCTGCCACTACCAAACCCGTGTACATGGTACTTGCACGGGAGTTCACCTCATGGGAATTCATCATCAAGGTGTTGTAGTTCAAATGCAGAAGAACAGCCTGAGGGGCAACTGACAGGAGCTGGCGCAGAGCCACAAGGCAGGGGTGGAGGAAAGCTTTGCCCTGTGTCCCAAGAGGAGCACCTATGGCTCTGCTTGCTGAAGTGCTTTCACATTCATTCATGTAACCTACCTTTGAGGCAGTAAGGACATCTTACAAGCTGCAAAAGCAGTCTGAGCCCCAGTAAGCTCTCAAGCCTTTCTTGAAGTTGGTCTAGAAATGCTCTTGCCTCACTCAGGCGCCCCGGCAGTCCTAGCTGTTCCAGGAACACCTGGGTGTACTCGGACAGGGGTTGGGCAAAGACAGGGTGGCAACGTGCTGGCTGAGAACACCCCAGCCCTGTCTTCCCCTCGTATCACGGCTCAGGGCCAAGGAGGAAGTGGCTCTCCAAGGGGCAACAGAGGGAGTTGAGGCCAAGCTGAGATGAGAATCCAGGCCTGGGACAAGGGGGGTTGAACTCTGCTAGAGGAGTCTTTGTCCCTGCATCACCACCAATGGTCACCCTTAAAAGTGCTGGTTGAACAGGTGACTCAGGGACAAGGAAGGGTTTAATCAGGACCCCACACACACTTTGGCCCTTACTCAACAGGGCTGCCTGAAGCCAAAAATCCCCACACACACCCTCCCACATGAGGCTCCACGGCCTCATGGCCCAGCCCCGGTGCCTTGCTCCTCCCCGCAGCAGCTCCCAGCATGGCCTCCTGCTTCCCTCCCATCCGAGGCGACAGGTAGAGCAGGGAGCAGGAGAAGGAAGGGCAAGCGGCAAGGGAAAGCAGGCGATGCTTTTTGCCGAGGTCGTGGCTCATCGGTGAAATGCAGCGGTAGGAGCAGCCTCCTTTCCTCAGGGCAGGTGGGTCATCACCGGCTTCTGCAAGGGACCAAAGGGAGCACCTCAGCACACCGCAGAGCTGCAGCAGTGGCCGCCCCAGGGCATGGGCCGTCTGTTCTCCCCACACCTCCCTGTCCCAGCCACGGGACACCAACTGGGTCGAGCGGGCCACGCTGTGGGTGGTGGGGACTGATGGTGGGTGTAAGCCTTGTTTTATTTCCCCCTCTGGGAGCTATTTACAGCCCAGGTGCCAGAGGGCGGGGGTGTAGGTGCCTCTGTTCTCGTGGGCCACCACCACCATGAGGGCTGTAGGCCTGAGGGGAACATCCTTAGGGAAAGGCCTGGGACCCATCAGAAACTCCTGAGGACCAGCGGGACCAAGGAAGCCGGGCCTGCTCCCTTGCAGATCCCCCTCTAAAGACCCTCCAGGACACGGTGGCACCCCCGCACTGCTGGTCTCGTACCGCGAAGAGGCGCTCCACTCTCCTGTTCTTGCCGTTGGGGTTTCTCTGCGTCAGAGAGCCACGGTAGAGGGAGTTGCGGTCAAAGTAGTCATCGCTGCCTGTATTAAGAGACATGAGTGTGGCTCAGGTAGGGAATGATGATCCATACAGAGCTCGGGTAAGTAGAAAGGGTGCTCCGCTCTTTGGAAGTAGCTCCTGTAGGGCACGTTGGCTCTGATCCTCCACTCACTCACTGCACTTTCCCCTCAGCAACACCACTCACTTCCAGCCCATCGGGACACAGAAATGAGGATTTGACCTTTGGGTCCGAGGCAAACATCCCCATAGAGCAGCTCCTGCTCCATCGTGCTGGAGGTTTCAATTGCCCACTAAAGCACTTGGCTTTTGTTATCCCCGCACAATTCACAAACATGTCCGCATAGCGCAAGAGCCTTCCCGTTGCTTTGGCAGCAGCTAATCCTGGATATGGAGTGCTCTTCGGCTTGCCACCACTTTGGATCAGAAGTGCAGAGTCACGGTGACATATCTGCATGCGAATGTGGGCTGGGTCAGCCTGCCACTGGCCAGATCCCAAGATATCTGCCCTGACCCTCTCCGTGGTCAATGAAATCCCTTGGGAAGCCCAACCTTGCAAGGAGCTCTCATCTCATCTTTTGGCTTACTAAATCACTTCCTCTTCACCACCACCAGTTTCCACTTCTTCACCTTGACAAGCCCAACTTTGTGAACCATGGACCTGCGTGGAGGACAGCCAGACGACAGTCCCCCAAATCACCCATTCTGGGCAGAGAGGGGATTAGACTCGCTCGGTGACGTCAGATCTCACTGCACATTCCTCTATCTCCTTGTGGGGTGACGTGTCCCCTGAGCTGCCTTTTATCTGGCTGCCCTTTACAGGAGGGAGCACAGATGACTCTCTCAGTACAAGGAAAAAGGACCTTACTACCTAACAGCCTCAGTTTAGGAAAGAGAACTTTTAATTGTCTCTGCGCATGGAGGAAATGTGATTCCTTCCCTGCATTAAATGATCTTTTTTTTCCCTTTTCCTGACTTCATCTTTGATTTGGTATTATCTGGAAGGAGAGACTTTCTTTCTGCCTGTGAGCTTATGAGTCAAGATAAGGAAGAAATAGCAAAGTCATTTCCTAATGGGTCTTGCTGATGTCTGTCTGGATGAGACATTTCCAGTGATTGCCCTGTGCCACACAAGCTGCTGGGCCAAGTTGAAGGTCGCTGCCTGCTTTGAAGCACTTCTAAGCTGTGGGGTTTGAGTCTTGGTTGTGGATCCCAGTGGCTGAGGCAGGCAGGCAATGGGGTGAAGGATACCTTCTCCAGCATGACACAATCAAGAAGAAATTGCTAAAAGAAGAGTAATGGGCTCAGGAGAAGCTCTGAGGTCTAAATGTGAAGGCACAGCCAATGGAAGTCCAGCACTAAGTAACATAGTGGTGTCCCTGGACAGTGGGGCAGCAAAAATCCAAACAGGTTTCCTCTCTGACACAGGACTCTGCTCACAATAGCTGGATCGGCGGAAGTCCCCAACACAGACACAACGGTGGCTGAACGTGGGGACCAGACGTCCTTCCAGTTTGGGCCATGCGCTTGCAGCTCCCCACCAACCCCTTAGCAGCAACTCCTACCTGTGAATTCAAGAGAGCTGTTGAACTTCCTCCTGAATGCCTGGGGTCCTGACATCGCCTGCAAGAGGAAGAAGAGCAGTCTGTAGATGAGAAGGGGATGGGAGGATGAAGCCCACCACAAGGCTGTGTTTCCACCATTTTGAACGTGGTGCTCTCAACACACGCTGACCTCAGGCCTGATGCTGCGCAGTGTGCACATGTACGTACCCCTGGAAGCTCTTCTAGCAGCTCTACTAGCCAAGCGGCAGCAGCCAAAAGTGACACCAGGCAGTTCAGGCCACAGAAACCTGCCCAGGGTCTTAGACATCAGGTCGTGGAGAGGATGAAGCCACCACTAATATCTAAGCCAGCTCAGGCCTGTTACTGTGTGCTGAAATGAGACCCCTCCAGCAGAGCAGAGCTCATGATCCCCATGCTCACTGAGACTGCAAGGACACCTCAAAATGCTGTTTTTCAATCTCTGCCCCTCTGGCTGGTGCTCAAAGTGGCCTCCTTGAGCACTGGAGAAAGACTTCCAGCCCAGACCAAACACACACTCACCTTAATGTCATCCTGAGACTCGGCGCTCTGTGACCCTGGGCTGCTGCTGGCAGGTCTAGGAGACGGGAGGCGAAAGTCCTGCAGATGGAGGGAAAAGCAAAGACTTCTCTGCATGGGGTGGTGGAAGCGGGTGGAAAAGCTGTCGGACCTATAAGCTACGGCTACATGGTTTCACGGAAAGGTTCAAGATTCGTGCAGAAGTAAAAGCTGTGCTAAGGGACTGTGCATTGAACTAGACGGGGCTCAGGAAATGGGCTTTACTCGTGGCTTTTTGGACAACTCAGGCTGCCTTTGTTTGCTTTCTCACCAACTTTGCTTAGCCTGGTCTGATCCTAAGGTGAGTAAAAATGAAAGGCAGGACACTGCCATGGTGAGAACTCTCTGATCAGCTGCTGTTATAAAAATCAATATGGAAATGCACAGGTTGAGACTACTAAGCATCAGGCTGGGATTCCTCTTACTGTGGGCAACCTCAGAGGTGAGAGGACAAGAGAGAGATCTGCCCTGGATGGTGCAAACATGCATGGCTGAACATCCAGCAG